TGATATCCAGTTTTAAGATCCTAGGTCATCGGGTGACCTTCCAGCTCAGGTCAATGACCCGAAGATCGGGAAAATCGGGACCTGTTAGAAAGTCGTAAAGTGTGGCTACTGGCTGCTATGGGGTTTTCCGGGGTGCTGATCACGAATATCGTGTTAGTTTTGATCAGAGATGATGTCTTTAACCCGGCAGGCGGTGGGCCTCCCGGCCACCTTCCGCGCGGTGGGGGGGGGGGGGGGCATTTTTTTGCCCCCCGTATCTCCGAAACTACTGGACGGATCCGGAAAATTCAAACGGCGTTCGATAGCCCTGTCAGATTTGTCGAAGGAAACCAAATTTCATTGACCTCGAGGTCACCGATGACGTCACAGGTCAGGTCAAAGATAAAATGTTTCACTATTCACGGGGCTTTTAGCCCGGCAGGCGGTGGGCCTCCCGGCCACCTTCCGCGCGGGGGGGGGGGCATTTTTTGCCCCCCCCCCCGTATCTCCGAAAGTACTGGATGGATCCGGAAAATTCAAACGGCGTTCAATAGCCCTGTCAAATTTGTCGAGGGACACCAAATTTCATTGACCTCGTAGTCACCGATGACGTCACAGGTCGGGTCAAAGATTCACCGTTCACGGGGCTTCTAGGGAAATCGCTATAACACCGAGTAAAACGCATTTTGTCGAAAATCAGCGATAGGTCGTCAGTTGTCTAGTACATATGTTGCTATTAGAGGTCACTGGTCATACCAGGTCAGGTCACCAAAGGTCACCAAGGGTCACCATATGAACCCAACTTTACTAAGGTTGTGCGATGCATGTTTTATGCCAACTCAATGGTGTTGGCTATAAGACCATCAGGTACGGTTTAGGTCACTTACTGGTCAAGGTCAGGTCAAGGCCAGGTCAAAAAAGGACAAATTTCAAAGTTGATATTTTTGCATAAAATGGGTATCGTTTCGATGCAGCTTGTCACGGTCTAATGGTCTAATGGTGGTCTTTGTTTTGCGATACGAGGTCTAAAAAATGAGTTTGAAAATTTGACGTCATCAATTTTGAACAGTTTTTTCGCTATAACCTGGCCAAAAAAGAGGTATCGATCTCAAATTAGGTATGTAGATAGAAGGCGGTAGGGACTATCACATATCTACCGGTTTTTTAGAAATTCAAAAAACTTTTTGGATTTTTCGGCTATTAGGGGAGAGTGGGGCAATGGCGACACCATAAGCATTTTGCTCAATAGCTTAGCTATTTGTAGCTATTTTATGGTGATTTTGACTGTGGTTATAGCCAAAGGAATAGGCTTTCAGATAAGACCCAGTTTTAGTATCTCAGATCACTGATGACAGATTCAGAGCCTACGCGAAAATGTGGTGAAAAATGGAGGTGCAAAAAAGCGAGGGGTAATGCCGGCCACTAAGTGCAATAGCACAAAAAGTCGAAATATCGTCACTGGTATTCATCCTTAAACCATTCTTTCGATGGAAATTTAAGTGAGAATTAAGAAACGACAACTGTATTCAGCAGTTAACAGTGCACTGCACTGCAACACAACATTGCACTCGCTGCAACACAACAGCGCGGCGCCAACAGAGCAGCAAACTAACACAACCGTAAACAGCAAGCAAACTAAAACAGTCGTAAACACAGCAACCCGAAACGTTGAGCTTTAACGACAGAAGTCGCAAACAAAACCGCGTGGAGTCATTCCGGACACGTGTCCGGTATTACCCCGAGGTCAGCTTTATTTTAAGAAAGCAGGCAGCAGTCAAAGGCATTGCGTCGCAAACGCCTCACATCCAGCAGTCTCCTAAGAAAGGCTTAATTGAAGGTCACTGCAAAGCAGCACTTCTGAAAATGCGTTAACACATTTCACAGTCAGCAAATAGATGCAACAAAAATTAAAAATCAGATACGAAAAACACATTTAACGCTATAAAAATGAAAATAATGGAGCTACCGTGACAAACTTGCACCACGTGCTAGAATGGCGCTCAACTGAAATGTAAGCAACATCAGCTGATTAGTGATGGACAAAGTACTCACTAGAGATGGGTGGCCGGCATTACCCACCGTCCGCCATTGCCCCGCTCTCCCCTATGTGCAAAAAATATTTTTTTGATTTTTGAGGGTCAAAATCCAAAACAAAAATCAAAAATCCGAGATAACAGTTTTGTAGCCCTTTAAATTTGACACCTTTTATGTGTGAAACATTTTTCTGTATCTCTAAAGCTGTAGGCCTGACAGCTCTTCTCGCGAAACCTTTTTTCTGGTCGAAAATGGCAAAAATGACGTCAGTCTGACGTCATTAGCGTCCAACCTATCATAGCCTTTGGAAACATTTTGGTCACAATGTGCAATAGCTGTTCACGGGAGGGTACTGAAAGTTTGGTGACGATCGGCGCAGCGGTTCTCGAGATATATCGAAAAAACTAAAGGGTGGGGGGGGGGGGCAAAAAATCCCCCCACCGCCTGGAAGGTTAAGCATTTAGACCAGGTCGGGTCAGGTCAGGTCAGGTCAACCGGTAGGGGTCGTAACGGGTATTCGTAATGCGTGTCAACCGCCTCTGACAGCTTCGTAACATGTATACCCTTACTGGTTGACCTGACCTGATCTGACCCGACCTGGCCTAAATGCATGAAGACATCATCTGTGATCAAAACTAACATGATTTTCGTGATCAGCACCCCAAGAAACCCCATAGCAGCCACGTTTTACGACTTTCTAACAGGTCCCGATTTTCCCGACTTTTGGGCGATTGACCTGAACTGGAAGGTCAACCAATGACCTAGGACTTTCAAATTGAACATCATCGGCTTCGTCTGGTCACGGGCAACACGCTCGTTTTTTCCGCGAAGCTCTAGCTTGATCAGGGGCGAAACGGCAAGGGGGTCCAACGGACCCTCCCCCCCCCCTATACGTTCGCGGCTGGAAAAACACCAATACGGGCGAGGGTTAAGTAACACATACTCCTCAGTCTGCACCTGTCCACAAGCGCAAACTGCCTATCTCTTTCGATCCTCGCCCATCTTCCTCTCAACAATGAGATCTGGCCAACTACTGTCGCCTCGGAGCAGACGCATGATCTTAACCCGCGCCCCGTTGGGCTCTGCCGAGCAACGCGCCCGGTTGGGGGGGGGGCCATTTTGGCCCCCCCCCTAAGATCTCGAGAACCACGCAACATAGCGACAAGCGGTAAACGGCGTTGGATAGCCCCAACGGGGAACTACCCTGTGACTCAATTTTATTGACCTAGGTCAAACCGATGACGTCACAGGTCAGGTCAAAGGTCCAATTTTCACCGTTTACAGGCACTTCAAGAAATGCGTTGTAAAATCGAGTAAAATGCATTTCATTGAAAATCATCGATGGGGAAATGTTCTTCAAACACATATTTTGCTATTTGAGGTCACTGATACCAGGTCAGGTCACAGAGGTCAGGTCACGGGGGGGTCACAATATGAAAGTGTCGTGTGATACATGTTTTATGGTCCATTTTACATGACAAATGCGATTATATGGGTCAGGCAGCCTTTGGGGCCAGCTTAGATCACGTTTTGGTCAAGGTCAGGTCAAGGTCAGGTCAAGGTCAGGTCAAATTAGGTCAAATTTCAAAGTTAATATTTTTGCATAAAATGGGTATCGAATCGATGCAGCTCGTCACGGGGAGTTCAATGGTGGTCTTTGTTTTGCCGTACGTGGTCTAGAATTGCTAAAAATTGAGTTCAAAAATTTGACGTCATCATTTTTGAACAGTTTTTCCGCTATAACTTGGCCAAAAAACGAGATATCGATCTGAAATTTGGTATGTATATAGAAGATCGCTGGGACTATCACATATATTCCGGTTTTTTCGAAATTCGGAAAAACTTTGGATTTTTTCACAGTTTTTCTAAAAAAATCAATTTTTTGAATTTTTTTTGGTCAAAAACCAAAAATTTTGAAAATCCGAGATAGCAGTTTTGTAGCGCCGCTTTTTGTCTACTTGACCATATAAAGAACTTTGAAATTGCTTGATAACTGTAGATTTGGTGAGCGTTTCAAGATTGCATGTTTTTTGCTCATTTTTGCTCGAACATGACCTCAGTTTGACCTCAATAACTCCTGACCTAAGGTGACCTAAGACTTGAAATTTGGTGTGAAGGTGTCAAATTGATGCCCGAGGAGGTACTGAAAATTTGGCGGCGCTGCGCGCCGCCGTTTTCTTGCTATTCAGGAAAAACCACAGGGGGGGGCCAAAATGGCCCCCCCCCCAACGGGGCGAGGGTTAATGCTAATAGAGGAAGGTAGTTTAGGAAGGTAGTTGCGTGTTTATATTTCTATATTGTCTTGTGTTTTAGACTTTGCGTGTCTGGCTTCGAATTTAACTAGACATTTAGTGCACGTGTATGTTACTTTTAATGGACACTGATTTACGTGCATTTTAAGGTGTGTGTTTTATCCGCGTTTATTTCTATTTTTAAGTGACATCATTTGTACATGCACCTGGTGTCAATAAACTCTACAACTGCTACTACTACTACTACTACTACTACTACTACTATTGTGGAAGCTTACTCGTAAGAGCACAAGTAGCAGGTAAATGCCTCCTATAGTTACATTCTTTTCATGAGTGTACCTAATGCTTTGCTTCCAAACATTTCACTAATTTGCTGATATTTGTCATTTTGTTGATTGCAGGAATAAAATTACAAAGGAGGCGTGTTTTTATACTTTTCTTTTCATAGATACTCTCGATTATTTATATACACTGTGCTCTCGATAAGATATACAGTTATGACACGTTACTTAGAGGTTAAAGGGTTGATTGAACTACGAGTATATAGGGTAAAAACGTAACCACTTCTGTCTCCTATCACATGTATGTTCTTACTCATCCGTGCCCCTGGACAAGTTCTATGGCACCTAACCTTTTTCCATGATCGCGATCATTGATCAGCTTACCTTGGAAGACAATTATTTATACGATAGATCGTGTAACGGCCGAGGGAGCTCGAGACAGACTTGAAACATATTGAGGTCGAAATAAGTTTATTTTCACAAGCGTTAGCTACATACATACACTGCACGGGTATAGCCCATTCAATCATAGATTTACTTTAGTTTATAGCCAGATGTCAACTAAAAATCTAGCGTTATTTTCATGGCTTCAAGCAAAGATAAGAAAAAACCTTCCCAGCACCACTTTTACTACTGCAGCATTTTGCTTCCAGATGAATTATGTACCGACCACAGTCCGGATGTTCTCCTCACAGATCTGCGAACGTGATACGATTTTCACGAGCCGATTAGCAAGCGTTGTCTCCTCGTCGGCTGACCTGCTGCAGCCGTTGGTCGGAATGCAGGCTGCAGCTGGCAGCTAAGCAGCTGGGAAGATCCCAGCTGCAGCTCTGAGGCCTCGGGCTGCAGTGGCCGCAGCTGCAGCCCTACCCTGTCACACATGAAAACGGTCACTGGTCAGAGGCTATTCTGTCACGATGCCGGCTCACTGGTGTGACACTGCAATGTATAGGGCGAAACAAGGACGAACAAACAAGAACAATAGGTGAAATGGTATAGGATTTTAAGACTAACAGTCATTTTATTGGCGCCCTATCTCGGGAAATTATAGGCTAAGCTCAAATATTTTACGTCAATAATAATTATTCAAGTATCAATCGCCTTGCATCTCTGCACATATGTTACAGACGTTTTAGTTGTGCTTCCTGCCCCATGGCGTGGGCGTCTTACCCACCCACGGGGTAAGATGCCCGAAATGACTTGTTCGAGGAAGACGCGTGTTCTTCCTAGCAAACGAATTTGCGGGAGTTAGTGTAATTGCTCTATTGTCAAATTGAATACATGTCAATAAAATCGCTTATCTAGCAACAAACCTCAAGTTTCTCCGCGAAAACACTTTAAGCTTAATTAACGGGGGTGACTTGCCCCACTCTCCCCTACCTCATGCTCGCAGCGCCAATACTTATGCTTAATTTCTTTTCATTCTTTTTTTTTCTTTACAATCGTCCCTCTTCTTCCAGACGCTTTTTTCTCACCTTACTTTCTCTTGTCTTGAAAGTCGCCCAGCGTGTCTTTCGTTGTATCAATGACTCTGCCAGCGATATCAAGTCCCTTGATAATCACATCCAGGGCCTTCTGTCTGCGCTCTCTACGATCCACCTCCTGTCCTTCGGTGGGCAACAGCAGCAGCAGACAGCAGAGCAGCGTCAAAGCGCAGACCACCTTCATACTGCCGGCGCGTGAGTCGCATTAGAATCACAATTTTTGGTGCACGGTTAGAACATAGCATGGCATTGGCCAATTTTGTTCGTCACATGGTTGCGAGCGAGCTAGCGCAGCGAGCGAAGCGAGTTTTTCAATATAACGGAAGAATCTCAGTATGAGCGGCCCAGCCCGGCCCGGCCTGTAACGCTTTTGAGAGGCTTATATCTCAGCAACCGCTAGACTGATTGGCCTGCGGTCTTTTTTGCTGGGTAGCCCCATTCCTTCTACCCCGTAATTGACTACTTTTGATACATCTCAGTGACCGTCGTGGCACGTGCCACGTGAAAAGTCAAGGGTGTTCAAGCTGTTTGGCAAAAGTAGTGATTTTGAGAGGCTCATATCTCAGTAGCCGCTTGGGCAATTGTCTTGCGGTAATTTTTGTAGGGTAGCTGCATCCCTTCTACCAAAGGTCGGATACTCTTGATCTATGTGAGTGACCCCCACTGCACGTGCGAAATACAAAGAGAAGAGGTGGGGTACTCCACGATAGATCGTACCACTTTTTTCCAATTTGACACCCTCATCTCTCGGAATTTGACGAAAATTTGTCTCAGGGGTACCTAATCAGGGACTCTGAATCCACCTGTAACAATTTCAGGCTTATCAGAAGAGTATTTTTTGAGTTATGGTGTTTGACATTTTTTGGATCATGCTTTGCAGCGCTAAGTTTAGCGGGCTGTAACTCTAAGACGGATTATTCAAATGCCAAAATGTTATACCAGTAAAACGCCTTTTGGGCGAAGAACGAGCGAGCGAGTTAGTGAGCCCTGCACGTGCGGAAGGGCAAGAGGGTACTTCCAACGGACTTGCGCAAAGCACCCTTCTAACTGGTCGCTAGCGGTGTACCAAATCTGAACGCGATCGGCCCAGCCGTTCCTGAGATCTGGAAGCGGCATTCTGCACGTGCGCACGTGCAAATGGGGTTCAAACTAACTTTTGCACGGCACCCTACTAACTGGTCCCCAACCGTGTACCAAATTTGAGCGCAATCAGCCCAGCCGTTCTCGGGATCTGGAAGCGCCCCCTGCACGTGCGCACGTGCAGTAGCACCTTAACCGCAACACATGGCCTGCATTGTCTGGTGGGTGCCTACCTGTATGCCAAGTTTCAGCGAAATCGCCCCGGTAATTACCGAGTTATTAAAATGGGAACAAATTTGACACCTCTTATTGTGGTATTTTGCACGTGCACTGGCGGTGACCCATATGCATCGAGAGTATCCTATTTTTGGTAGAAGGGATGCTGCTACCCTACAAAAATTACCGCAAGCCAATCGCCCAAGCGGCTGCTGAGATATGAGCCTATCAAAATCACCACTTTTGCAAAACAGCTTGAACACCCTTGACTTTTCACGTGGCACGTACCACGACGGTCACTGAGATGTATCAAAAGTAGTAAATTACGGGGTAGAAGGGATGGGGCTACCCAACAAAAAAGACCGCAGGCCAATCGGTCCAGCGGTTGCTGAGATATAAGCCTCTCAAAAGCGTTACAGGCCGGGCCGGGCCGGGCCGGGCCGCTCATACTGAGATTTTTCCGTTATATTGAAAAGACTCACTTCGCTCGCTGCGCTCGCTCGCTCGTAATAACATTGAACTTGCAATGAAACAGAGATTAATCTGTATTTTTGAAATTTCAAAAAATACGCTATTTTTGATACATGACATATCGAGTTTTCTCTCATCTGTATTTTTTTGGACTTTGAAACATTTTGAAACATTTTCTCGTTTTTTCCGCGAAGCTCTAGCTCGATCAGGGGCCAAACGGCAAGGGAGTGTCCAACCGACCACCCCCCCCCCCCGCCCCTACACATTAGAAGCTGGCAAACGCCGCACACATGCGAGGGTTGAAAGTACCGCGCAAAGTGACGGTGGATCCATCAAGCCTGACCGATGAAGGACTGCTAAATTTGAGTCACCGAAGCAATGAACATCCTCGTCCATTCCCCAGGTCAATTGGTTCGGTGACTTTAAATTATAGTAGGCCCTTCCTCGGTCAGGCTCGATGGATCCACCGTCACTTTGCGCGGTACTTTTAAGACAGACCGTACATATACCTAGCCGGCAGGACGCCTGACGGTTGACCTGACCTGATCTGACCCAACCTGGCCTAAATGGATAAAGACATCATCTGTGGTAAAACTGACATGAAAGTCGTGATCAGCACCCCGAAAACCCTATATCAGCTTCACTTTACGAAGTTCTAGCAGGTTCCGATTTTCCCGACTTTTGGGTCATTGACCTGACCTGGAAGGTCAACCAATGACCTAGGACCTTAAAATTGGGCATCATCGGCTTCCTTTCGTCACGGGCAACACGCTCGTTTTTTTCCGAGAAGCTCTACATGGCTAAATCAGGGACCAAACGGCAAGGGGGGTCCGACCGACCCACCTACACGTTAGAAACTGACAAACGCCGCACACATGCGAGGGTTAATTAATCACTATTAGTGTTTAGCTAACGATCAAAGAATGCCTTTTGTGCACATAGGTACCTACTACCTACGCTTCATTCAAAATGGATTATGGAAATTGGAATCACCAGACATCTTACATCCCACCGACTTTGTTTTCATCCAACTGCATACTTAATTTTGAAAGCAGTTAGAATTTGGGAAGCCAAAATCTCACCTGGCAAGTATTTCCCTGCTGCTGTCTTGACAGGGCCCGTTCTTCAAGTGGCATGTGTTCCTCATGCAGCCCACTCATTTTATACACGCGTCTTCTACTGCCCCAGGCCGGGCTGGCCCGTCAGACAAAGGCATGTGTGTTTGTGTGTTTTCTCGGCCGCATATATTTTCGAGGCATGGCTAAGTTAGGCCTTGGCAGTTTCCGACTGGTGTCGATGCTGCGCGAAGGACATAGAGCCACTTGACATTCTGCAGGGGACTAATACCACCGTCATGTGACTGGGGAAGGTGTTGACGAATGACGAAGCTCGGTGCAATGCATCAACGCGACACGTTTTATCAACTTAGCACCATATTGATATTCGTGAGTCCACTGTTTCATGTAATTTTAAGCCAAACATCCGTCCGACAGCGCCTGATGCTGAGTGACAGGGGATTCACTGAATTCACTGAATTGACTGTCTGGTCTGTCAATGCCAACAGCGATTCGGGCTCACACCGGTCCCCCCCCCCCCTCCCCCTGACACTTTGGCTGCTCGTTCCCTGCCAGATAATGATGAAATTGGTAGGATAAGTCAAAAGATGTAGCACAGTTTTATGCTTTTTTCATCTTATTCTTCACCATCCAGCATACACCTTCCCTTCATCGCCCCAAAGCACAATTATTTCATTAACCTTCTTAATTCCAATCTCCCCCGTGTGGGATAGTGAATAAGGTGTCCGTCTCGAAGTTCGCGGTTTTGGCGAGTTCGTGGCCTGGGAGTTCCACAACGTCGCTTGCCAAAAGGCTCTTTCAAATATATTCAGACAGATTGAAACTAACGAGAGAGCCCGCCAGCTTCGCTTTCATGACGGCTAATTGTCACGCTTGACCTGGGAGGACCGTGTCTTAACCTTCCTGCGACATGCGAAATTGCCGAGGGATAACCCTCGCCGGCTAAGGGGGGGGGGGGCGGCCCTAATATATTTTTTCGCGATAGCTCAAAGCACGCAGGTGATAGAGAGCTGAAACTTGAAAATGCCTGACATTTGAATCAAGCCAGACCTTTTGACACCAATCAAATGTTCAGGTCAGGTCAGGTCACTGACCTATGACATCATAAGTGAACATCTGCGCGATGTTGCAAATTCGTGACGCCCTCAGTGCCAGAGGAGCTTTCAGAGGGAAATGAAACTTACAGGACAGAGTATCCTTCAGAGGTTTCACAACATGTATATCTTGGATTTCTCCTAAAGGTCACATGAGGTCAGGTCGGTCACGTGACGTTACCATTATTAGTCAATGGGGAAAATGAAAACTGCTATTTTGGCGCCGGGAACAATCTCAACGTATCTCAAACACACGTAATCGTGATTTCATGCACTCCTTGCAAGGTTTGACGCTTCACTTTTGCATCATTGACCTTTCTAACGTCATTTGTGATGTCAATAGGTTAATAAACGTTTTTCGTCAATAACTCCCCACCAAGCTGGCGATTCGCAAAAGCCACCAATGGACTCAACAATTCCTGCCGAATCAAATGATATGCGATATGACCTCCTTCAAACAACTTCGTGACCTTGGGGGCTCTGACATGACCTTGACCTGAGGTCAACACCTGAAGTTGACCTCACCCGAACAAAAAGATACCATTCGACGCGCCTAAGAACACGATGATGCCAAAATCGCGGCTTTGCAGCCGTTTTCGAGAAGTCATTTATATAAAAAATTGGTCCCTTGCCCTGGGCTACTTAACCTGACCTCTGATGTCACCGATTGACCTAAGACCTTAAAATTGGGTATCAGTCGCTGCGTCTCGTAACGGCGCACACGCTCGTTTTTTCCGCGTGGCTCTACATAGCTCCATCAGCCCGGGGCGAAACGGCGAAACGTGTTGTACCGCTTAAGGTTTTTCGCAAATAACGTAAAACGGCGGCGCGTAGCGCCGCCAACTTTAGCATAGCTTTTGGGGAAACCTTTTGGCACCATCCCTAAAAATTTCAAGTCTCTGTCGTTTCAGGTCAGGTCACCAGGTCACCCAATCCGGTACAATGTCTGGGTAGAATTGGACTATATTAGCGGCAACGGAATCGCTAAGTTTATCGTTAATAGCGTAAGAACCGTGAGAGACTTAGAGCCACCAAATTACAAATATAACTTAACCCTCGCCGGACCTATTGGTTTTCTACATACGCGCCGGCCGAGGGGGGGGGGGGCGGGTACGACCCCCCCCTCGCCGTTTCGCCCCTGGTGGAGCTAGCGCATCGCGGAAAAAACGAGCGTGTGCGCCGTTACGAGACGCAGAGATTGGTACCCGATTTTAAGGTCCTAGGTCAACCGGTGACCTCTGAGGTCAGGTCAAGTGCCCCAAGGTACGGTTCAGTTTTTGGTGAATAACTTCGCAAAAAACGGCCGCAGAGCGCCGATTTTGGCAGCATCGTGTTCGTCTCCCTCAGGCACGTCGAATGATATACTTTTTGTCCGGGTCAGGTCAACTTGGGGTGTTGACCTCAGGTCAAGGTCAGGTCAGCACCCCCAGGTCACGAAGCTGGTCGAAAGAGGTCATGTTGCATATCATTCGACTCGGCAGGTCTTCCTGAGTCCATTGGTGGCTTTCCCGACTCGCTAGCTCAATTTGATCAAGAGTTATTGACGAAAAACTAATATGACCTTGATGACGTCATAAATGACGTCACGCAAGGTCAACATTGCAAAAGTGACGCATCTAACCTTGCAAGGAGTGCAGCAAATCACGATTCTGTGTGCTTGAGATAGTTGGAGATCGTTCCCGGCTCCAGAATAGCAGTTTGAATTTTTCCCCATTGACTTATAATGGTGAGGTTACGAAAATGACCTGACCTCATATGACCTTTAGGAAAAATCCGAGATATACAAGTTGTGGGAATCATAATGGATACTAGATCCTGCAAGTTTCATTTCCCTGTGACATCTCCTCTGGCAGTGAGGGCGTTGCGAAGTTGCGACATCTGAAGACCGTGCAGAGGTTCACTTATGACGTCATAGGTCAGTGACCTGACCTGACCCAAAAATGCGGTTGGTGTCAAAAGATCCGGCTTGGATCAAAGGTCAGGTATGCCAAGTTTCAGCTCTCTATCGCCAGCGTGTTCGGAGCTATCGCGAAAAAAACCCTATGGGGGGGCGGCACCCACCCCCCCCCCCTCGGCCGGCGAGGGTTAACCCGCGCCCCGTTGGGGTCTGCCGAGCAACGCGCCCTGTTGGGGGGGGCAATTTGCCCCCCCCCCCTAAGATCTCGAGAACCACGCAGCATAGCGACAAGCAGCAAACGGCGTTGGAAAGCTCCAACAGGAAACTACCTTGTGACGCAATTTCGTTGATCTAGGTCAAATCGATGACGTCACAGGTCAGGTCAAATGTCTAATTTTCACCGTTTACAGGCATTTCAAGAAATGCGTTGTAAAATCGGGTAAAATGCATTTCATTGAAAATAATCGATGGGGAAATGTTCGTTAAACACATAATATGAGGTCACTGATACCAGGTCTGGTTACAGAGGTCAGGTCACTGAGGGTCACAAATCACAATATGAAAATATCAAGTGATGCATGTTTTATGGTCCATTTTTATGCCAAATGCGATTGTGTGGGTCAGGCAGCCTTTGGGGTCAGTTTAGATTATGTTCTGGTGAAGGTCAGGTCAAGGTCAGGTTAAGGTCAGGTCAAGGTCAGGTCAAGGTCAGGTCAAGGTCAGGTCAAATTAGGTCAAATTTCAAAGTTGATATTTTTGCATAAAATGGGTATCGATTCGATGCAGCTCGTCACGGGGAGTTGGTGATCTTTCAATGGTGGTCTTTTTTTGCGCTACGTGGTCTAGCCACCAAGTGCACCAACAACTGTCTCACTCTCATATTACGCAATCTCGCAGATTCTGCAAAAAAAGTTCGTAGCTCTGAACTTTATATCGGTACGGAAAATCTTGACCGTCCTGACTATCCGGCATTTCCTGTACTGAACGTCCGGGATTTACTTGACTGAATCTGCGAGACCCCATGTGTAGCCGACCCTGTGTACCTATTTCCTATCAGCTGAACTTGACCTGCTTACCGATTTTCTGCAAAACCCGCAAACTCGCAGATCACGGACGTAGGATCCCGCATAGTGTAGCTAGACCTTAGTTCAATGAGCTTTAATGTTTCATATTTGCGATTTCTTTCTTTCAAATATTAAACAAATGAGAGCAAGAAATCCACTAAGTGCGTACTCTTATACGACTTCGCCCTACTACGAAAACCTACCCGGCAGGACCCCCACTGGTCTACTGGTTGACCTGACCTGTCCTGACCCGACCTGGCCTAAATGAATGAAGACATTATCTGTAATCAAAACTAGCATGATATTCGTGATCAGCACCGCGAAAAACTTACAAATGCTAGCTTGACAACTCACTTCCCTAATCGTCTCATTGTTCCTGCTCTATTCGGCCCTCCCGTTTCCACCATTGCGACCATCACTGTTTCCATTCTTAGCAACATGACCCACCACTGTTTCATGTCCATCCATCAGACAGCTCATATATGCAGCCAAGGACTCACTCCAGATTCCGACGCCTACGATAGACTTACCCAGTAGGTAGTCCTATACATACGTAACCGCAGGTTGTTTGAAAAGACAAACACTATTCGTTACTGTTTCCATTCTTAGCAACATGACCCACCACTGTTTCATGTCCATCCATCAGACAGCTCATATATGCAGCCAAGGACTCACTCCAGATTCCGACGCCTACGATAGACTTACCCAGTAGGTAGTCCTATACATACGTAACCGCAGGTTGTTTGAAAAGACAAACACTATTCGTTAGAATTGTGTTTTTCTATTGAAAAACAACCGGAGCGGTCTAACCGCAGGTTGTTTGAAAAGACAAACACTATTCGTTAGAATTGTGTTTTTCTATTGAAAAACAACCGGAGCGGTCGTTCTCCGGGCTATGTTTTGCAAGTCTGGCAGCGAATTGGGGCAACTTGGTAGGGGCCTAAACGAATCGCTCAATCTTCGTAAAAATTCCAGGGTATGGGCTCCCGCAGGCGATCTACCTGATGGCACCGGTCGGTACTCGCTAAGAAGTCTTTGGCGCGTGGCACGTGCGATTCCATTTTTCCCATGTTAAGTCAACGGG